CTTACATGTGCCTTTTACAGGAACCCCTTTGATTGTAACAATGGGAGCGAAGCAGACCTATTTGTGCAGTGAAAAGGGAAGAAGCCCCCTTGTCGGGCAGCTTCCCTACACCCGGCTCCCTTTTGTTTCTGCTCCTGCCTGAGCTCCAGGGCAGGAGGGTTTTCAACTGTGTTGACTAAGATAATTTGGCACTTCTCAAAAGGAAATTTGCTACAAAGGGTGAAGTACCTCCCTGCGCACAAAGAGCCCCTTTCAGAGCGGAAGGATGCTTCAGTGCACGTTTTGTACCCACAAATCCGACCTCCGCCAAGGACAAAGCCAGGGACAAGAACGCTTAATTGCTGAAGAAATGAAAAGGTAAAAAGCACATCCGCAGGCAAAATGACTCTGCTACTGACACAGCCGCGGGTCCTGGCAGGGCAGGTCCGGGTGCCCCACGCAGGGCTGGCATGCACGGGTGGCAACACACGCTGGAGACACACAGCACGGCGAGATGGCCCTGGGGAAAGCACACGGGAGGCTCCGAACACCCGTGTTCTCCCCCGCAGTAGCCCCAGTGGTCTCCCCAGGCAGCATGTGTAGGCTATGTTAGGGGTCCCAAATAACAGGGCTCCCCCAGTTTATAATCTCCTGACAAATTCCACTCAGGCCCTGTTGATATTTCCATTTAATGCTTTTTACCTAGTACAGCCACTCCACGTCACCTTGAAGCTCCTTTACTTTGCACTTACTGATATCTCCAGTCAGGCATCTTGTCACTGCTATACATTCAATTTCTAAGCACTCCTCTGCTCTCAGGCTCCCTATACACAGGACAGGTGGATTTAAATCAAGACTGCTACCAATGGCTTTTAATCAGCAAGGAAAACATCTTGGTGGAGACCTTCAGGTTTGAGCACAGTTTCCCATTGCTACTCTGGCTGCCTGAGATAATCAGTAAATAATACACACTGTTGTTGCTCGTTTCCTTCTTTCTCAGGGTGCAGGAGCCTCTCATACGAGGTGCTGTACAAACCCACTGATTTGCAGCCAACTACAGCCCTTTGGTATTCTTTTGTTGCTTTCTATTATCACTTATCACAGACACCAGATTTGCTTTGCTTGAAGACTCAGACCAGGGGAACTCCAACAGCAAGCTCCAGCCTGGAGTCTCACCCTGTCCCTGTCCCAGCCCTGCAGTAACAACCCAGGGTGCCTCAGGTTGCTTGCTGCTCTTGCTCTTGGAGCAGTTCCCTCCTGCCACCGAGCCCACAGTCACTGGGCTAGGCAGCTTGGACCCCCTATAGCATGCTGCCGCCTTCCTCTGCCGTGCTCCATCACCACTGGGATGCTGGCTACCAACACCCCCATCACTGCTACTGCCAGTACTATTGTTTCTATGCATAGGTATTGAAGTGCTTGTATTGGTTGACACAGATCTAATAACTTCTACTGTTTACATGTCTAGTGTGTTAGAATGTTGGCTATTTTCTATTTACTAAAAGAGTACTGGAGCAGACTGGTATCAGTTGGAAAGAGCCCAAATATTTATTAACGATGCTCAAAGCCAGTATTTTGAAGTCTAGCAAGTTTATCAAAACATATTTTGCATTTAAACCTCCTGACTTCGAAAATAAACAGACCGTTAAGCAATTTGATGAGCTGTCTCTCATCTCCACAAGAGACACAAGCTTTTCCAAGTATTCAGTTACCCAAATCTGAAGAGCCACTGGCATGGGTCAGTGCTTGGACTTGCACATTACTGTGCACATCAGAGTGTGATGCATGTGACCCGCAAAAGTGCTTCTAAAACCCCTGTTGTGCACCTGCCTCCTACTTCGGAGCCTACCTGCCTTCCATAACAGCAGGAAAAAGCCTCCAAATGAGCAGCTATCTTCTGTTGTTAGATTTAAGTCACAGTTTGGAAAGAAAGTGTTTCAACTTCTAGTCAATTGGGCTGAAGAAATAGAAAACATTCTCGCTACATCTGTTGCTTATGCTGGGTTCGGTGTACCTCAGGCAAAGCTTTTTTACTCAGTATCAAGGCTGAGAAAACGTAAATGCAAATGCTGGCTCCTTTGGTAATTAATGACTGGAAGCAGTGGATCCTGACTGTGGCACAGGACTTTGGGGCATACTGATAAGGCTATCGCCCAAAGGTAAAGCATGTGTTCTCTCCATCCTTCCTGCAATTAGAAGACTTCCAAACACCAAAATTTACTGAAAACCTGAATGGGTTTAATTTTTCTAGATTATTTTAGTATAGAAACACAACTCTGAGGCTCAGCACAAATTATAAAAGTTCCCATTCACTTCTAAACCAAGGGAAAATGTTTACTTGGCATGAAGATGCTAAAATAAAATAAGGCCAAGTTTTGTAACTGTTTAATGGTTTTGATTGTCTATCTGCTCTGTCTGTCATTTCTATTTTTCTCCTCCTGGCCCCCTTCATTCTACCCACATCTGTAGGACATTACCCATAGTGTAACCAATACTCCAGCTGTGGCTGCCCTGCTGCCACAGAGACAGGACGTATCAGCGCTGCAACAGGAACCATCTGTGCCTATGACCCAAAATCACTCTGGATTTTTTTCTAACCACCATACTGCTGCACTTCTGCTCCCTGCTCTAGTTCAAACACCAGGCATGTCTGCTCCAGATTCTTCCCCACAGGCACCAGAAACAGAGGATTTCCTCCCAACACAGTCAGAAGACACATGCCAAAACCTATCGCTTTCTCCCTGCTGTGCAGAGTGTGAAGCTGGTACCTGGAGGGATACAAGGTGTGCCCAGGAGCACCAACAAAAGAATTGAAAGAATGTAACTCTCACGGGCTGAGATAAGAGCAGTCCAGTAACTAAGGTATAACACAAATCATTGCTGCTACCACCAATAATAATAATGATAAGGGAAATAACAAGGGAAGAGAATACAATACCACCCGTCGATACCCAGCCCAACTGAGCAGTGAACTAGCCCTTCCAGGTAACCCTCAGTTACATCCTGGGCATGATGTGCTGTGGTATGGAATACTTCTTTGGCTAGCTTGGGTCAGGCGTCCTGTCTCTGCTTCGTCCCAGCTTCCCCTCCTCCCTGGCAGAGCATGAGGCTCAGAAAAGTCCTTGGTCAGAGTAAACATTATTGAACAGTAACTAAAAACATCAGTGCTATCACCTCTGTTCCCAGGATGAAAGTCAAAACACAGCACTGCACCAGCTACAAAGGAGGAGAAAAATGACTGCTACTGCTGAACCCAGGACAGTAACCACCCCTTATTCCATACCATTCATGTCATGCTCACATCCCACATTTTTCAATATGCCATTCCCCTGAGGAATCTATTCTTCATCTTCTTCCTCACCTCCACCCTCAAACCTCTGCCTATAAACTTGTATGTTTGTATTTCTGCAAGAAGCAAAAGTCCTGGGGACAGAGGCTGTGCTGTGAGTGCCGTATGTGATCTTTGGCTGGTCACACAACGCTCCCCATTCACAGCCACTCACAAACTGGGACTGACAGAAGCTTGCCCTGCTTCCCGAGGTATTTCAGACATCAGATAAAAAGGAGCCTGAGACTGTGCTGCAGGGTCCCATGGTGGGGACCTGCACAGCTTCCTAATATGCACTTTGTCCTTGTCCTATGCCCCCTGCTACAGGGCTGCAATATTTTCCTGGATTTCCACCTTAAATCCCTACTCCCTCTGCAGCTGGAGGCTGAGCACACTCTGCCTGGCATTTGCCTGGTGAGTGAACTGGCAACTATGTCTGTGCTTTAAGTCTTACAAGCAAAATACAGCACCAGCATGATTCCCCTGAGATGAGCACCATGGTTTGGCAATAACTAGCAGTAAGGTATACTGTCATCGCTCAGCACCTCCTCTGCCAGTGTAAGGAACACTGCAGATCAAACCTGCTGCTCCCCGCACTGCTGTGTATCACCAGCAAGGGCTGGGCTTCTCTTATCCCATCTTGCTCTACCTCGTAGAGCTTTTCTCATAGCCACTTTTCCCACTTAGCCCTTTCACCCACTTCTATCAGTAGAATTCTTCAAAACCGTATTTTTCAAACACAGCTCTGCTACCTGAGCCACTTTTTCTCCAGAGAACAGTGTCAAGATGTAAATAACTTGCTTTAACTGTTCAGCTGTCTGTCTTTCTTATTCAAACCCTTCTTCCTGCCCTCCTGGTAGTTTGCTTCTTCACAGTCCCTTTCCTGTCATCCCCATCAGCTCCAACCAGTTGGTTCCCAGTCCCTCACTTCCCGCTGAAGTTTCCCCTTCCACGATGCCATTGCTGGCCGGATCCGGCTCTCAGAGGGGCGAGAGGTGCAGCCCCAAGACCTCCTCCCCAGCCTGGGGGGTGTCCCGAGGCCGCCTGCCCGGGATGCTGGACGGCGCGCAGGCTGCGGGGATGAGAACAGAGCACGACCACTCTGGAATCTGCCGCTAGGTCGTCCCAGCGGGAAGGGGAGACGGCGGCTGAAATCCGTCACGTCTTCTTTTTGTAGTAGCAGAATTTTGGAGTTCCTGGCAAACCACCAACGCCACTGATGCTGCCGCAGGTCGGGTTGCGGTTGGACCCCTCTCTGCGGGGATGTTGCCCCCTGGAGGCAACGGATCCTCCCGAGCGCTGGGTCTCGGCGCTCGCCCCCCCCCCCCCCCCCCCCCCCCCCAAAGCACCTAAACCAGCCCCTTTCCTGCAGCCTCAGTGCAGAACTGGGGCTACCCGACAATCCCGGGGGCAGGGAAAGGGCTCTGCTCCTCAGCGAGCGGAGTGCCAGCCCAGCAGAGGGGAGTCACGGAGCCCTGCTTCCCCCCGGGGCTCCGGGCGGCCTGGCCGCGGGACACGTGTTAGATGCTCCCTTCGGAGATGCACAACCGTCCCCGAAAGAGCCCAGATGACCCCGCTGGGGGGGGGGAGGGGGGTTCGCTTCCCCCCTCAGCCGTCTGGGCACGGGTAGGGCTGCGGAGGGCTCGGCCCTGAACCCCCCCGGCTCTCCATCCTTCCCTAAAGGCTGCCTTACCTCCGCCAGCTTGGAGCTTCTCTCCTTGGGGCTGTTGCTGCGCTGCTTCCTCACGGGCAGCCCTCTCACCGCAGCCAGGAAAGTTGTCAGGAAGACGAAGCCGAGAATGAGCACGACTTTTCGTCTAATCAGCGGCATCTCTCCCTCCCTCTCGCCCCTCCTCGCCCGCCCAGGGCAGGCGGCCCGGCAGCACGCCCTCCCGCAAGGCTGCAAGCCCCGTCCTTCCTTGCTCGGGAAAGCAAAAGAAGAAGGGGAAACTCAGAAACACATTAATGTATATGAACTACCGCCGCCGGGAAGCGCAGCTCCGGCGGGTGCGGACGGGGCAGGGTCCCCCGGGCAGGGCCGCTCGGCTCCCTGTGATCTCACTTGCAGATTGCCGAGCACGTTTCAGTGTCGCTGCTTCCCCGGGCTCGCCCGCCGGTGCCACTGATGCTGAAGGATAACTCTGAAAAGCTTCACAAGTGTGTGCGGAGAGGGAGGGGGGAGAAGAGGGCTTCGCCTCCCCATCCCCCTTCCTAATCCCTTCGGCAATCTGATTTCTTTTCCTCCTCTTCTCCTCCCCCCGCCAAGTCACTCCCCGGGGCTGCCGCGGCTCTTCAGGCACCGCCGGGCGGGCGGGCCGCGGCCGCTCGCCGGGGAGAGGCTCCTTCTCGCAAGGAGCGCGGTCAAGCCCCTCCCGGGCGAGCGGCGAGGCAGCCGGCCCTGACGCTCCCCTGCCCCGCTCTCTCCGGGCGCTGCCCCCTTCGGGCGCCGCCGGCCGCTCCTCCCCTCCCGGCAGCCGCATGGCCCCGGCGGCCCCTTACCCATCGCCCCTGCCCGGCGGTACCCTGCGGGGAGCTGCCCCTCCGGCGGGGCCGGCCCGGCCCGGCCCGCGGCTCTTTGTTCCGCTGCCGGGCGGCGGCTCGCCTCGGCGGCGCCAGCCTTGCACAAGCCCCGCGGCACCGGGCGCTGCCCTCCGGGGGAGCCCCGCCGGAGCACCGGGGCAGCGCCCTCCCGGCGAGGCGAGGCGGCCTCGGGCTCCGGGCCGGCCGCGAGAGGAGGTGGGGGGGGGATGGAGGCGCCCTGGACGGAGGGGCGGGAGCCGGGCGAGGGTCTCAGCCGCAGCAGACGCTCAAAGCCTCCAGCCGCTCCCCTGGGAGGAAAGCTTTGGGGCACGGAGTCGGATCCCGCTCGCCAAGGCCAGACCCTGCACTCTCCTCTACCGAGTGGGGCCGCGGGCTCAGCGCAGGGACTGGGGCAAAAGCGGGGCTCTGTGCTCCCCGCTGAACGCTCCGGCTGTTCCCGCGCTGCGAGAGGAAGTTTCCATCACTCGAAATAAGCCCTGGTTCTTTGATCTGCTCTCTCCTGCGCCGCCAGCATCTTTCCTAGTCCCCAGAGCCCGCTAGCAATACGGTGCTGCTGGGTACCTGGGATCTGGAAAGCTTCTTTTCCAGGATCTCCACAGGCATCCATCAGCCTGTGAGCAAAATTATCATGAAGGTATTATTAGGGAAAGATACTGAAAGGAGGTTTTGCAGCCCACTGAGGAGAAGTGCCGGTGCTGGCACGGCCCCCAGAAAGGGACACCTAGCACAGAAACCCTAAATCCAGCATTCTACAGCAGCCTGAGCACAACCCTGCAACGCACCTGGGCCGATTTGTGCACCCGCAGTCGAAAACAGGACCCACACCTCCTTTTTGATTACCGACATCTGGTTTACACAAACTTAGGGCTGAGATGAATGAAAGGAAATGTTTAAATCCAAGCACAGAGTGCAGGACAGATGTGAGGTCAAGAATACCATGTGGGATGTATCAAGAAGCCTTTAAAACATCCCTTTAGCAGCATGACAGCTGATAGCAGCCCCACACTAGCAGCACCCAAGGGTGGCAGGCTGACTTCTTAGTGGAGCCAGCATTACATGGCCAGCATGGACTGCAGGTGGGCAAGACCTCAGGACCAGCAGAACCTCTGTAGAGCTGTCTCTCCACAGCAGAATCAGCTTCTCCAGACTGTGCATCATACAGGGCTGTCACTGTGTGACAGACCCAAGACTGGTAAGAAACTGCTGAGCATCCCACCACACGTGCAAGGCTTCCTGGTGCTGGAGTGAGGACACTGATTAGCCTGAGCTCTCAAACAGGCGACAATTTTACCCAGCAATTCCAGCATCAAACTCTGAAATTCGTGTGTTGGGTGCCTTTTTTTGAGGGGATGTGTTGTACAGGGATGGGGCAGGAAAGGGGTTGCTCTCCCCTTCAGGGGAAAAGCCTTATTAGCATTTAAAAAAAAAAAAAAATCACAATGCAGCTTTACTTTTTTCAAGTCTTTATTATGCAGAACATAGAATAGATTTGAATGGATTTTTTTTTCCCTAGCAGTTTTTTCTCCATTTTTTATTTTTTTTTAACATGCATTGTTACCTTTTTAAAGCCAATGTACCATCCATTTATCTTTTCCCTGCCCACAGAGCATCCAACTTCATGTAATCCCAAGTGTAAAAAAAATTAGACATCTGGCATAAAATATTTTTTGGGGAGCCCATTTAAAAATTTTATCTAAAATGTCTTATCTACAAAAGAAATCCGATATATATGTACATTATAGCAATACAGAGGCATAAGAATACAGTGCAATTTAAGACAAAGTGCTGTGACTTGTTATTTCTGCCCAGGGGCTTGTGGAAATGTGGGCCACCATTGGCTTTGGGGCTGCTAGCCTAAAGCCTCAGGCTCCAACGTTCCTGTCATCTCTCAAACTGGTCTGAAAGTCATAGTATCGGAAGACTGGAGATGCAGTTAGCGTAATACACCGTTAGGGGGTAGCAGAAATACTGCCTGAACAGGATGAGATTTGGCAAAAGAGGAAAGCTTTACAGCAGTCAGATAGATGGTGTGCACGTTTCACTTCACCAGGGGTATTTTTTGGAACAGCACCAACCCGTGGCATATTCAAGTCGAGAGACCTGTTCACGACTGTTGAAGAAATTAATCTGCTAGCTGCCACTGCTTCTGAAGTTCCTGACCCTCTCCATAATCCTCCCACTTTGAGCAGCGCAGGAACAAGCTACCAATGCTTGCTAACACAGAACAGCAGTACAGAGAGCTGCACTGCTTTTGGCCTTCACATACAGACACCTCTTCTGCTCCTTAAAACAGCTGCCAGGATCAAACACAAATTGAGTTGAACCTCTCCCTCCAAGAAAACAGCAGTACATATTGCTTAACTAAAAGCACAGAGTATTCTTCCATGGGTTAAAATCCACTGCATTCATCAAGGTCAGTTTTAATCTAAATTCTTCACAACAAGAGTCACAGTTTTAGGCCTTCAATGCATACCACAGTCGTCATCTCTTTCTCCCAACCCCTTTTGGAGATGCAAACTCAACAGCTCCAATGTCTGCACCAGACACTTTTTAGTGAAAAATAAAGCACAATACTTCACACAAAGCACTTCATGGTTGTGCTCTAGCTTCACACCCAAATCCTTAAACAGATGAACAACTGCAAAGCTGGGGATGCTACAGGACTACAAGTCATCACTATGGCATCTGGGGAGTTGTGTGTGGGTTTTTTTCCTTTCTTTCTAACTGGTGCTTTTCCAAAACAGTGGTCCAGCACCAGAGCCTGCTGAGGGGTCATACTAGGAATTATTCCCACACAGCTCAGCGCTTCACTTGTGCTGGAACAGAACAGACCACAGGTATCTCAGATCTCTGTGCAGAAGGTGCCACCCACATAGAACCCAGCATGCTTGACACTTTCACAGGCAGAGGATAAACTGTAAAAATAATATACATGAACTGTACATATAAACTGTATAAATTTTGACTGAGCATTGTATATTGGGATAAACCTCCGCAAGTTTCCTTCTCTGTGATGCAGCAAAGGAGCTCATGCATAGCGCTCCAGATCTAATGCTGTGAGGTGTTGTCCCAGGTGAAATGGAGAGCTCATGCTCATGGTTTTCCTCCAACCTCTCCTATGATCTGCCTGAATGGATAACATGGCTTCTGGACAAGCTAACAGCTGTAAGCCAAATACTTTTCAAAAGTAAAGAAATTAAAATTTGCATAGAAGGAGAAACAGTATTTACTTGGTGTGGAAAAGCTTTAGAGAAGCGTCCCTTTGGGCACTGAAAGTTGCATTCCTGTCTTAGGGACGTTTGGTCAAGTACATATGAAAGATCCCTGTACAGCTGAGAATAAGCAATGACTGACTGCCCCTTTTCTCCATCTCTGCTGTACTGGTCCTTTATTCACACAGCACTGGGCTGTGTCACTGATTTCACGGGCATACTTCCCTTTACTGCTTCTGTGAAGGCAGGTTCCTACTCTGACAGTGGGCACCACTTCTGCACTCTTAGAGAAAACAGCAAGATCATGATGCATGACACAATTCCTTCACTGAATGACTTCATTACATTAAGATGTTCGGTCAGTTCACTCCTGAGTCTTTGCCTAAAGCAGAAGTATGATATACCAGTAACTACAGAACTAGAACAGCTCTTTAAGGATGCTACTTAGAAGGGGAAAAAAATATAGTAACTAAAAAAGAGTTGAATTATACCATATACACATATTGTACAAAACTTTGTGTCTTGTGTAATAATAAAAGCCATGAAAATCTTAACACAAGATTTGGTTTATTCTCTGCCAAAAACTAAAACCAAAATCATGAATCAGGCTCCTTAAGACAAAGGTCTACTTGGGAAGGCCAGTTTCTAACAAGAAGCAGATCTCTCACTCTCTACTGATGCTCAGTAATAGGAGCTTCTCAGTTTTCTTAAGAGGAAAAGAACGTGGCCATCAGCCTTGAAAACTATAATGGTTCTAAACTCTTCGCTCAGCAGAAGCAAAGTCTTGCCTGCTAAGTTCTTCAGAGAGGTATGGGAAGGTAACTATTGTATAAGTTTAGCCAATATACTGTATAGGGCAAAATCCTTTGTTCAAAAGCAGCCTTCATTTTCTTTTGAATTTTGCATCCCTTAAGAAATACCAGGAGTCACTTTCAATTAGAATGTCTCAGAACAGTTGGCAGGGACTGAAGTCTATTTCTTAAGCAGCTTTTCTTCCTTTGTGATCTCTCAAGATTGGTTCTTTCACTCACTTCTACTGCCAGGACAAAAAGGAAACAGATTTCTGGTCAGTGCATAAATATCAAAGCAGCAATCCATCCTACACATACTGTGACAGCATTCATGCTGTAGGTTTGCCTAGTACAAACCAGAAGTGGTCTGTTCCTTCTCTTGTGGGAGCAGAGTTTTTTAGTAGTTGTGAAAAGATTTTCCTGGCTTTCACACTCAGTGAATTACTGGCTTAAAAGTGCAAAATCTTGGACTTCTTTTTCAGAAGCAGTTCCAACAGGTACCAGACTTTGGCAAAACAGGTTCCTGTGAATAAAAGGCCTCCTGAGGGGTGGGGTTGCTTCCCAAAAAAGATACGGCACAGTTGAAATGTAACCAAGCAGTTTGCAAATGCTAATGACTGCCTGAATGATTACTGAAATGTCTTTGCAATGCAGAATTCAGTGTCATATGCAGACAGCATGATAGAAAGATACTGAAAGGCAGAAGTTTAGCATGAACACAGTTTCCTCAACAAGTGCAACTGGAATCCCAATGAGGATTGGTAGCTTTAAAACACTGACAATTTCAGAAGTGTTATGCAGGAGTTATCTAAATTACTGAGATTTATGCAGCTGTTTTTCTCCCTTCTAAAGACCAGCTGCACTACAACTGAATCCTGAAGAAAAGATTAAGACTCAAGACTTGCAGAACTTGTAACTCAGTACATCACAGTTTTCAAATTGACTTGGCTACGCAGACACAAGCACGCTGTACGTCCAAGAATGCTCAAGCTAGCTCCCTACTGACCCATGCCTATGCATTCAAGTTTGTCTGTTTTCTCCAGTCTGAAACCCTTCCATGATCAAGTCAACAGGATTAGGGCTGGAGTTAGGGCTTCCCGCACTAACCTCCTCTTGTTCCCTACTATAATTCAGAAAAAGAAGCAACAATTCTTTGAGGTAAAGCTTCTTGAAGTCAGAAAGCAGCAGGTCATCTGCTGGAATGTTAAGAGCTAGTGCTAGGCAGAACACAGGCAAGAAAGTAAGTCTGTGTAATTTAGTTTACTCACTCTGTGGCGGAACAAATGAGACTAACTCCATAGCTATCAAAATTGCACATACAGGTTACAGACTTCTTGAACTATGCACATGCTATGCTCCAGGTGGTGAGTAAATCAATATTAGTGAACTATGACAAAAACAGTTATCTGAACCCATTTTCAAACAGTCAATTTTAATTTTTCTCAAATTGGATTTCTAAAATGCAATGGTAAAAAGAAAAAAAAAAATCAGAATTTTGAAGTTCCATTACATTAAAATGGAACAAGATCTATAAACACATTAAGATAGACATTCTACAAATAGAAGCCAATTCTGCTTGAAATCACCAGATGTATCTGCAGAACTGCTTGGTTCTAGTGACCAAACCTGTTAGTTGCAGAGTGAACACAGAAGAACTTAAAGCATCTTGCTAATGAAGAGCTGGCCCAGCTCAGTTGACACATTAAAGTTTTACTATCTCTGCAGAAACTCCGCATGTCCAAAGTATAAAATACATAAACAAACTATACCACAACTGATTGCTGTTATAAAATTTTTGGTGCCTTTCAATGATCCATTCTGCTCACCAAAAGAATAAAAGATGCAATGACTAAGCAGCAGACCACCTCTAAGGTGTGCTAGAGTAAAGGTGTCTATTTTAAACTCACAGTAAGACATTGTGGAACTTGCAAATAAAAGATTCCAAACAGCAACCAGCTCAGCAAAGATTAATTTGATCTTGCAGTTAACAGAAACGCAAAAGATGTCAAACTACATGCAGTTGTGAGGACATTCTCTCTTCAGGGAAGGCCTACACAGACAAAAAGCTGCCAAAACTTGTGGCCTAGCCAAAATGTAATGCATTATAAGTTCCAAGATGTCTAAATTCTTTGCATAAAAGCCTTCAGCAACAAGATCAATGAAGAACACCTCGTATATGACAAGAAATGGTGAATTAGAAAAAGGGCAGCAATTAGTCTTTCACAGATCTGCATGAAGTGGCTCTCCTAATAATCATCCATTTTATAGGCCTGCATCTGAGGGGTGCTGGTCTTAAGAAGCACAAGTCTTGCCATGTTTTACTTAATTCCAAGAGCACCCTTCTAGAACTTAGCAGTGACTTGTTCATGATTGTATGATAATTCCAAAGCAAGAAAAATTAATCTGAAGATGAGAAAGCAACATACATTAGAACTACCTTTTTTTTTTTTTTTTTTTAAACATTAGTATGTTGGAAGACAAAACACAGCCCATTTAAAAACAAAAATCCCCTTTCCATCACTTACCCCATATCAAGAGGACAATTAGTGTCAAAACCAGGAGACAATCTGGCATCCATACTGGGAAGGAAAAGAAGCTAGAGTCCCAGAAGTCCTTCTGTCTGTGGCTTACAAAACTAAATAATGTTTGGGAACAATGGTCCTGTCAGTGACATGTCAACAATACATTTATTTTAAAAAGGCTAAATTTATGTTTTAAACACAAGTAACTGCAAAAGAAAAAGCAACTTTGGTTGATTATCCATCTTGTTAAATATGTCAAAGTTAGCAATTCAGAGTTTCTTTAGGAAGACTCCAAGAACAGACAGGTCAGCTTACTCCTTACTGGGAAGGTCAGGCACCTAGCAGTGACACTGGAAATGCTGCCATGCCAGCATCACACATGCTCAGAACATCTCAGTCAGCATTTGCAAGGCTAATGGGGCATACAAAGTCTGAGCTGATGAGCCACAGTCAGCTCAGGTTGCTGTGAATTCATTGAGACAAATAAAATAAAAAAAGCAACACGAAAAATTGAGGCCGAGCACCTCTAGGGCCAGACCCTGAAGACACAGGAATCAAAGCCTTTTTTCTCCTCTCCCTATTTACAAAATGCCATTTAGAGCTCACGTGGCCACTTCAGTATTGTGAGGAAATGTCTTTTATGCTAAGCAGTCCTAAATGTGTTGTACATGGATGCTGTGTCCTGCGTGCCATGGAGTGTCCCACAGGGTGTGTCCCTCCCACCAAGGCACATGGAGGGAGTTCAGTCTTCTGTTTCTTCATATGTTGTCTCGTCAAACGGTCGGTCCAAGAGAGGTACCAAACGGTGACGGGAATATTTCAGTTGCAAAAGGTCCCCAACTTCATCAATTTCTTTTAAAGCCTGAGAAAAAGACCACAGTAGATCAGCAGAGGAGACAGATGCAAGTTATCAGCATATCTTCCTTTTTGCATGCCTGCAGATTACTGGACAGCCATTTTACGTAAGCAAGACTTCACTATGCTAGAAGTCTGTAGCTTCAGAGGTGCCTAGGACTTGGTTTTGATTTTAGCATTCAGAAGTCTCAAGACCAAGCGAATAGCACTGATAACTTAACTGAGAGTGACTCTGCACCTACCAAACTACTCCACTTCCAAGGCAGGATCATAATATCCAGCAATACTAACTCAAATTTGCAGTCATCTCCCCCCAACCATGACTATTCATAGACAGAAAAAAAACAAGAACAACCTCCCTTCCTGGAAGTAACACAGCTGAAGCAGAAAAAAATATGTATGTGTAGGTTCGACTCCTCTTCATGTATAATTCAGTATGAAAACGTGTGTTAGTAGTATACATCTCTGACTGACTGTATTTTTTAAACAGCAAGATAGCAAAAGGCAAACTTCAATACTGCACTAACAAGTTCTACTGTTTCATTTGTTATATCTACATTTGATTAATTTGTATTGTCCACGTACAAATAGAGACACACTGCAAACAACACTGCATGGGACGTTTTTGCCAGGCAATTCAAGGAATGAAAAAAGTTATTCTGGATAGGATCACAAGTATGTTCTCCTTACAAACTAAGTCCCAATGACTGAGGTTGCCACAAAGGCAACACTCAGTCAACTGATGGCTCAGGACACTGTTAGTGAGCTAACAAAACCTTTCACCATTTTGACCTGAATGCAAATGTTATGAAGTTTACCAGAGATCAAACATCTGCTAGCATAAGAGATGAGGAAAGTCCCGGCTCAGTTAATCATTCTTTTTTTATGTTGCAATCTCTTTGATAAGACACTCATTTGCAATAGGGTTTATTAAAAGCCAAGCCCTAAATTTCAATTCATTTCTCTACGGAGCACTCCTGGAGCAAGGTACAAAACAAATTAGTTGCCGCAGACAACTCTACAACAGTATGTGATACCAATTATGTAGGCAAGTGACAAAGAAATTAGCTCAGAAGATGACTTCCAAGTCCAATGTGATTTCTGAACTCAAAACCTGGCATTCTGCACTCCCTTGAATTATAAATTTATTCAGATAGTTACATTCAGCATTTCTTCAGAACGCCACTAACTTCAACATTAATGACCCCATTTTAACATGTTCCGGGTCTAACGCCTGTCTCCCGAGAATAGTTGGCAGACGAGTGTTAATATTCCTACATACTTTTTCTTCCTGGATGGATAGTTCAAGTTTTTGTTTCTTTAAACAATGGCCCCTCATGCTTGTTGTATCTGGCAGCAAAATCCTCTCCACTCCAAAATCTGGGTGAACGACAAACCCAGAAGTTGGACCTCGGTAAAAACCAAAACAAAAGCGTGGGCACAGTTTGCCAGAGCTTTAAGTAAAGATCCCATATGGAAACAATTTAAGGTTGAATTTCTGTTGAAAGAGTCTGTTAACTGTTACTCTTGAATGCAGATTTAGGATTTTATTAATTTAAACCAAAAAGGACCATGTGACCAGCAAAGACTACAAAGGAAATGGCATTGGTGAACTCTGACTTCACAAGAGTGTAATATATTTTTCATCACTGAAAAGAAAGCACCAGCCCACAGGGATGCAGGTTATGAGGGACTTCACTCTGATCCTGAGCCAAATATTTTCAGGCAAGGAAGTTTTATTTACATAAACCTGTTAAAATTGTAACAGAGAACTGTTCCTCATCATGTGGGTTTACTTAATATGAACAAGGAAGCATTACAAATATCAGCATTTACAAGACAAGCTTCTCTTCCTTGGGCTCCAAACCCAGATAAATTTTGCTTAGAAAAAAAATTAAATGCTGTAAGAGTCCTAGTTAACATCCATGCATGCACAGATGGTCTACCAAGTTCTCCTCTGTGTCACTGACTTGAAGAAGCTCTCTACCAGCTCTCTCAAAGTCTATTCATTTCAGTTCCTTTTCTTCCTGGATATTATTGCCACAGTTCAGCAGAGGGATCAGATCCAAGGGCATTCTTAATGATTAACTGCCTGATATCAATTCCCTTTCACTGCATCACAAGAAAACACAACACAAAAATCACTGCTGCAAAGATTTGCTCCTTATTAACTCCTCTTGCCAATGTTCTGGGTTCAGAGCATGCAGCTGTTTTGAACATTGAAGTGGATTACACCAACTTTGAATAAAGCCTCCACATGCTGAGCTAAATCAGGATTTTTTCATTCGCTTCAAAATTCACATCTCATTTTGTCCTGGATTACTTTTCTTAGGCAGACAAGCCCTAATGTATTAAAAAACCATTTCCTCCATTTAGAGCATTTAGCACCTAGAGAGATACTCTAGAAAAAAGTTTTCATTAAAAGCATAAAACCTGAAATATTTTCTGGAAAGCAGAAAGACTGGTAAGAGAATTGACAGGAAAAAAGCATTTTTAAAGCAGAATAATAAAAGTTACAGGTTGTTTTTGGAAAAGAGCAAGAATAGTACTTACATAGACCCTGCAGAAGCAGCTGGTTATGGTAAAGACTCCAGCTAATAACTCTGAGAGCAGACCAAGAATCTAACCAACAGCAAGACTGCATGAATGCTCAGGTAGTGCCAGCACACCGAATGCGCACAGTTTCAATTGTAGCTCAGTTCGCAGCAATATGATTTCAGAGGCTTCAGGTTTCTTTCTTTTCCTACCTCCTCCCCATTCATCCCCTCCACATCCATCTGGCCAGAAGTTACTGCTCCCTCATTTGAGTCAATGCAACCAGTTCTATTACCATGTTCTGCGCCAAGCCTGTGACACTGTTCATTTTGTACTGAGAGAAAGGAAGAGAAGAAGGGAACCTTCTCTAGAGATACTGCTTCAGAATTTTCATTTGGAACAGAAGCACTGAACTGGGATAATGACAGGAAGAGTAGCAGGGAAGGAACTTGGGTCTTAGAAGGCAGAAAGAACTCAGAAGCAAACGCAGCACTGCAGATATATGGCGGATTACTTAACTGATACATACTGACACTAAATATATATTACCAAACTGCACTCACCATTGCCTATTATTCCTAACAAAACTGAAATTTAAAAAAAGCTATTTTCAGCCCTTGATTTGAACATTTTGTGGCAGTGAAATATGAAAAGTTTAATTTTTTTTTTTTTTACATTAGTAAACATCTGTTTGTATGCCCCATTTGCTGTTCATGTACTGAAGTGTTACCATCTTATCATATCTGGACACTGGGCATGATTTCCCCTTCATTGATGACTAGTCCAAATCAACTTCTTATCTACAAAGTGTTTAAAAATAGTTGAAAGGATTTTTTTTTCTCCATCTTCCCAAAGACCAAGGTGAGGCTTCTCAACCTGTTGTTCCTCATATCACACTTCTTGCCCTTCTTGAAGTTAGTGTTGTCATTTGCTTTTTTCCAATCTCCATTCACCAGGACCTTCCAAAGATTGTAATCAAGAGCATCCTTGCAGTGACAGCCAGCTCCCTCAACACTTGTGGGTGTATCCTATCAGGTCCCATGGACTTGTCAGTGTTCAGTTTGTTCCCTTATTTGACCCTCCTTTACACCAAGGGTAAGTCTTCATTGTTCCATGTTTTTCCACTGACCTTGTGGGCCCAGGATTCCTGAAGGCAAGTCTCATCAGTAAAGACTGAAGCAACAGAGGCATTGAGTACCCTGGCCTCTTGCATGTCATTTGTCACGTGTGCCATTCAGCAACAGCCCCACATTTTCTCTACTCTTCCTCATGCTGCCAATAACCCTATAAAAGGCCTGCCTGCTGCATTTCATGTCCTTTGACAGCCTCCAGGTAGGTTTCGGATTTCCTGTCCCCATCCCTGCGTGCTCACAACTGTCTCTATTCCTCCTGGGCCACCTTGCACCTATTTATGTTTTATATATTTGTTGGTTTGTTCATCTGTGCAGGTTTCCCACCACAACTATCCTCCTGTAAGTCAGAATGCATCATTCTTTGGGCGTGGGAGAACCAACTAGCTTTCCTGGACACCACCTCTCTTCGGGACCATATCCTATGGGATTCTTTCAAGCAAGCCTCTGAACAGGACAGTTTACTCTCCTGAAGTCCAAAGTCATGACTCAACCTAGCTTAGGTTCTGAGCTCTACTACAAGGCTTTAAACATTAGATTTAATAGTTTGTGTACCAAACACTGAACCAGTCTAAAAAAAAAAAAAAAAATAGACAGTTGCTGTATCTGTTTGTAGAAGGCATGAGCAAAAGAAAAACAAGATGAGACACTTACTCTGTCAAGCATCTCTTTGGTATGAGCTGCAGACAAACAGAATCTGGCTCTGGACTCGATGATGGGGGTGGCAGGGAAGCCCACAACCACAACACCGATGTTCCGCTTCAGCATCTCACGTCCAAATGCACTTCCAGAGAGAACAAGAAAGATCAGAATGATACCAGTGATGGCAATGCAGCAGCAACATGAAGGTCTCCGTATGTTTAACCATACAGGTCTTTGTTGAAGCAAGCCTGCAAGGCCACAATTTGGAGCTTGCAGTGCTTTCTTCTAAAGGCAGAATGCCTATTCACGAAGGCCATTTTTTAATTTATTCCTAAGGTGGTCCTCCTCAAAAGGTTTCATTGTATTAAATTCTAGCAAAGCTAAAAGATTAGAGGGGGCAGGGGCTGATCTTTCGGATTTGTAACCTAAGATTGGAAATCTTCCCAATAGGAAAGAGGGATTTTGGCTTGGAAGATAGACTATACAAGGAATCCCACTTGCTGCAATCCCCTAAAGTGTCTGCAATTTCAAGTTGGTTTGTTTTCACCAATTTAATTCAATTAAAGTACATTACAGTGTCACAGAATGCACCACTTTTTAAGTGACTACCAGGGGAACCACTGAATTGCCACAATAAATTGAGATAACCTAATCTGACACCAAGTTCTTACGGGGATTAGAGAAATCAGTGGCTTTGACTTATGTGATGAGAGGCACGAAGATCTAGATCCTTTCTGTAATGGCAGCGCAATTGTGGGTGTGTCTACAGGCCATAGGAAACAGTTCTTTTTGAACTGACCTTGTCTTCAGATGCAGCAGCAATGAACTTGAGGCTTAAAAGGATGTGTAAAAATAACATCCTTTTACTAGGTTTATAATATTTCTGCCTTTTACTTCTGCTGCAACTATTTTCCTCATAAATATGTGCACAGTGATACACTTAATTTTGTATCCATTTAGTACTTTCAAACTATTTTAAAAGCAGACCACAAGAGACAAAGAAAGGATGAAGTAGATCTGATGAGAGCTGGCCCTTAGGATCTACATCAGAGCTCCATTTCCTTTTCATTTTTAAGTTACTGGCCCAACTGCTAAGCTAATAAACATTTCCATGAATATTTCCAGGGAAAAGATTGTACTGGTTGGTAGAGCAGCTGGGCAACCGAAACAGTATGCCTCTGTGTGCTAGATGGCACACACTGCAGATTCTACAGCACCTATAAAGGTTAAAGGCCTTTTAAATTTGGTTATACTGAGAAGGGTGGAGGAAGACTGTTCTAGCTTCACGCAGAATGCTACAAGACATTTGTTTCCTCACAGAACCACAGTACTTAGCCAGACTGAAGCCTGAGCTAGAATACTACAGATGTTTCTTAGGGCTTAAAACGAAGCCATGCTTTCCAAATTCAGAAGTGTTGGTTGAGCACTGCATTATACACAGACGCTGAAAAGCAGCTACCAAAGCCAAGTTATCCTTGAAATCAGGCTTTGTTTATGTTGCAAAAAATTTTAATGTATACATTATATCCTGCTTGCAGAATTTTAGCTGTAATTATGCACACAGCAGCCCACATGTCCGTAAGCATTTATGAAGCTTACAGTTCGATTAGTATTTACAGTAACAGTACCTGAGCTGTTAAATCCAGACTTATTAAAAGACTTGGGATTCATCAAATACAGGTTGCTGTGTCCCATCATATCCCACCCCCTGCTTTTTCCTTTTTTAAATTTCAGAGTTCACCTGTGGAAATGTTGACGGCTTCTGATTCAGGAGCTGGTAAAAAGATTCTTCTAGTGACTTAATGTTAATTTTAATTCAATTTCAGCTTTTCTTTACCTCATATATGCACTTTGCATAGAAATAACATGGAAAAAACAAAACAACCCCCAAAACAACCCCAAAAAACCCAAACCCAACTTTAAAAACATGGCATGTAGTGGTAAAACAGCTACCCTGAAGTGCTTTCTTGCTGCCACAAGCTACAAGCCTCAATTTTCCCAAGATCACTTGCAGGAAGTTTCCATGTTTCTTAAGACTCGGTCTTAATATTCTTGTACCATCCTAGCTTTAGAGAAGACAGGTGAGAAGTTTCCCTGTTAAACCTACCCAATTTTTGCTGGCATGTAGAGCATCAGAGGCACAACTGGGGAATCTTCATTTCCATAGATGATAAAACCCATCTCTTTAAGTCGTCTCCTGAAATATCTCGTGTTCTCCGCTAGCTGCTGCACACGTGCTTTCCCTAGAAAAGAAATTAAAATAGGACCTAAGCCACACGCATAACTGCAACACAAGACTTCTAGCTGAAGTACAAACTATGATGTACCGCTTGTGCTTACACAAGGGTTAAATTAACTGCAAAGTAGAATTTGCAGTTTCTTTTATCTTATGTAATCAAGATCACTCACTCAATTCCTGACAAGGCAGTAGGTGGATGGACTAGGACAGGCACAACCATCAAGTCCAAGCGCTCCCTATTTTTTTCGTATCAGGTTTTTAATCAAGAGATACCTGCTTTTAACCGAGATTCAAAATTTGCTCAAAATTCACTGGTAACTGCACCTTGAAGAAGAGTTTCTTATGCTTTTAATAATGAATGGAAGCCTACTGAATCAGCTAGGGCTGTTCACCATGTTTTATCCTGCTTGTCTGTATTATTGGAAATTACTAATTTCCTCCTTAGGTCTACTTGCTGAACTGATCACACGGCTGCTCCCTACCCTTCTTCAGTTAAAATGAGCTGGGTTTAAATTAAACCGATTACTTCTGAAATCCAGCTCACTTTGTGGTAAGTGGCAGTGGCCAATCCATCATGCATTCAGCCAATTCTCACATTTGTCAAAATTAGCACACAGGACATTAGACAGCTAGTATAATTTAAACACTGCAGCTAGCCAGATATGCATAGGACAACCTATTTATCAGTTAATTAAGTTCTAGCCTAGCACAATGTATTACATATCTGTATCACCCAGAAAAAGATCTACATCATCTCACCTAAGCAGATCATAATGCATTTCTGATCAACTAATACTCTACTGTGCTTAACAGATTACGTAATATGCCATTGATGAGACTATAATAAGTAATATTTATAATTACTTGTCTCTGGTCCACAGAGTGTATTTTTGGATAAGTGATTATCCAAGCACTGTTTTCACCAGATGGGTGATTCATATACCGAAGCATTAAATCTACAGCAGTGCAGATCTATGCCACAAAGTGAAGATGACTGCTGGATATTAATAGTCTTCCTTTAAAGTTGTAGATAACATAAGGTGATTAACCAAAAGGAATGCCAGCTCTCAAAGAAACATCCAACACCCACATAGCTCTGCTCCAAGCCAGAACAAATGTAATTTTAAGAACCTATACAGTTTTTGTAGCCAAGAGTATCAGACATTCCACCCACAACCATGCAATCAAAGGCAAAATCCCATCAAAGGCAAAGCATGAGAAAAAGGATGAAACCTGTTAAGTTTGCAAAACTTGGCCTATCATTAGTGGGTAGAAGCTGGTATTTTTTTAGGAGCAGTCATTGCCATTTAAGACATCTCCTCCATCAGAAGTGTTATTTCTTAATCTTTTCTCCCCTAGAGTTTCTTCAGAAGCTTAATTCCTCTTTCCCAAAAAGCAGTCAGATTTCAGGAAAACACAAAGGCATCTTGTGCTTATGAAACTTATTTTTTAATTGGCTCACATCACATCAGATGCTCCAGTGGAGACCCAGCTTTCTCTTATGTTTTCAGACCAATTATTTGGTTATTTTAGATACCCCAGACTGCAAAGTGAAGTTTTAAAAAAAAAAAAATGCAATAAAATAAAAAGAAATAGGCAAGATACTACAGATAGTGGCCCAAAAGCCATTACTTGCATTTTTAACATTGAGACAATCAATAAAAACACAAGTGTTCAGAGCAGTCTACATGCGCAAAAAAAAAAGCTAGAATGATACCTTCTGAGAAAGCCACATCTGCATATCTCCTATACAGAAATGCACAACTTCTGACAACATTTCAAGTCAGTGACATACAATCCCATCTAAACACACATGGAATTTCACTACTGCAAGAGTAGTGAATACTAGTAAATACACAGCTGGATACAAGTGGTGTGATCAGCCCCTCTACACAGCCAAGAATACATCTTCTCCCATACATGCATTCTCTCCATGCTCCCATAATGTATGGAGTTTACAGTGCTTCAAGCAGAAGGAACTTCAGCACTTCTATAGTTTTCCCCTCTAGAGATTCACACCCTTTTCCAAGTTGTTGTGAGCCTTCCAGGCTAAAGATTAAAGAGTAACTTTAATTTGTAGTTGGCAACCACTTCACAGTCTTCCTTAAACTCTTTCCCATAAAAAGAGTTTATGATTCTAGATTTGTCCTTATAGACTGAAGAATGCTTTGAGATGTAAACAAGTCTCATGTGCAAGTCTTTCCATCCTCTACAGAGACGTAATTGCCTAGTACAGCTACTGATGGATTCGGTCTCAAAAGCCTGTCAGCTTGTAATTTGTTCCAGAGCCATTAGTCAATTTAATGAAATTATTACCTCTCTTGAAACTTGCCACCATGGCTACAACAACATTAACAAGAACTTGAAAACATTCAGTGGTGTCTTCTCACTATCCACCATGTGTCATGACCATCTGAAGAGATCTGTAGTCATGATGGAGCAAAGCACCAGCAATCAAGCAGGAACCAGGTGCAGGTTCCTTGTCCTCCACTTCCTTTACTCTCCGCATCTTCTTTGCGCTTCAACATATTTAGTCTCCTATCCCACTGTGAAATCTTGCACTTGAAGAGTGATGCCACATGTTAACTGAATAGGGTTTGCAATATTATGCAACAATATTCAGCTCATAATATTTGCTGCTTCAGCCCCTGGTACACATGGATGCAGCAGGCTGTTAACTGCTATTAGAGTTTTAATGTGTTTTCTGGGACCACAAAGACAAACCAAGCAGTGCCTGCAGACAGCAGGGACTAGGCAGCACTGCTAATCCCACTTGTACCCAAACCAGTGCTTGAGCATTCAAACAGAACCTCAAAATCCCTTCCAAACTCAAACATTTTCCGAAGCTCAGAGCCCTGTCCACATCTGTTCAAGTGCAGACCAAGAAAGATTGCCAGGACTGCAGCAATCCTCCAGCAGCTGGCTTTCTTGGCAGTATACAGCTGCATTTTTAAGACCACGCAAAAAAAGGCTGGCTCAGACACCACCCTGCCAACTGTTCTCGCACAGGAGTTGTGCAACGATTCTGGTAACATCCTTTCATCTAGGAAACTGGAATATGATGACCTTCAGGAAGGGAAGGGGGAAGAAAAGGAGGATTACTGGAACAGAGCTCTTCAAAAAGCTGCAAAACTAGACTCCCTTATCAGAGCAATTGATCTGAAGTCCCTTATGAGTTCTGTAAATGGCTTAAACCAGCTACTGACAGACCTACACTGGAATTAGAGGATTAACTAATAACTTCTCCTTTGCTTTTATACCCTTTTCACAGGTCTACTGCAGTTGTAACAAGATTGCTCTTGCCATTTAGAAAAACACTTCTGTGCCTGTAGAAGCCTTGCATCATTCAGTCTAAAGCACGCATGTATTCCCGAAAGAACATTCTGCCATTCTATCAAAATATATAGGACACCTAATGGGGAGAAACATTCTCCTTTAACCACTCTCAGCTCAGAGCTGTAGCTGTGCAAACGCAGCAAAGAAAAAAGAACAGAGAAAACAAATGCAACCATTGCCTCTGCTTGGATAGCTAAGATGGGATGAATATTTACAGCCGACAGTCTGAGAAGAGGTACATGCTTTTACTTGACAGAGCCTCATACTAGTCCAAGATAACAGGCCGTCACTTGAAATTGGCACTGCTCATCTTCATGCCAACATTTTTTTACTGTACACCTAAAGTGTACATGATACAGAGTTGCAGCCCATCTACCTCAGGTGCAAATAACCAAGTGTGAACTCACAGATCAGCAGCAGCTTTGCTGAAGTCACTCAGGGCCACTCTCAAACTTTGGTTCTAAGGGACTGCCCATAACCTCATGGTGATCTGTACTGTACATGGCCAAGAATGCCAGATATATGCTTTTGCATTTATAAACCCTAAGCAGCTGAAGTCTAGACTTAACAGAGCAGAAAAGTCAGGCTTCAGAGTTTCTGCAGCAGAAAGGTTCTGTACAACCAGCTGAAGCAATACAGTAAGAGCTGACCAACTGTATTTTTACCATTCCTCCAATACTTGCAGTTTACTTCCAATATGAACAGCAAACTTTTGCCCACTTCTAAACAAGCTGCAGATTTGTGCTGGGGGAGAGGGTTTCTCTTATTACATTTTACCATATGGCATATCAAGTTATACAGTATGTAAGACAAGCAACACTCTTTAAAAAAATGCAGCTAGCATCTCCCTGAAAAAATGGCACCCCAATATTCCAACACCCTAGAGAAAGCACTCCATTGTGAATCTAAAACACACATGAGATGCATATTCCCCACAACCCTAGTGGAAAGTAAATTAGTATCTCTGCCAGGACAGATTCACAGAGGTTAAAGCAATGATACTTCATCACTTGCAAAGGCCTCTGCTTTAGAGGTCACATTGCTTAGAAAGACAGAAGTTATACTGAAAACATTATCTAGGAACATTTCAGCAAATTTCTTCCCAAAGCAGAAATTGATACTGATTATAGTTATCTGCACGGTAAATTGGAGACTGCTCACCACACCACATCTAAACTCCTGTATCAAATAGGCACATAAACAGAGAAACTCACCTGTATTGAGCCTCATTGCTCTTTACATCACAGAAGTTCATGCTTAAACTAACACTCCAAATACTGCAAAGATTATCAGACAATGCTTACTGGCAAGAAGGCAGTTTAATAAATAAACAGCAACTGCCCAGCAATTAAAAAAAAAAAAAAAAAAACCAGACACTTCTTAGAGCTGAGATCTGTGTAAGCTCTCTATTCCACATTAAAAAGCCATCTACAAAGAACAAAGAAGCCCTAGAATCTGTGGAAATTACTCTGCCACAAAGATCGAATATTTATAGTGTTTCTGTCATCTATTAAAGGCTGATGAATAAGCTATCATAGATGGTATCGGACTCCAAAGAAAATTTAGTTCAACCAGGATGTATTTGTTTTCCCTCCCCCTTGTGATCTCTAGGCAGTAATTGGAGAGCAATCACAAATCTGTCTTTCTAAACAATGCAACACTTCATCA